GGTGATAACGACAAACGAATCTCTTCATCATGTACTTTCATTCGAAATGAAGTTCCCCCTAACAATATCCAACTTCTATTTTGGGTCATAACTGAAAGTACATGCTTTTAGTTAGGAGCATCTATAAGAACATTCTTCTTCTTGACTCAGCGTTAATGTGAGATTTTTACAAAAATGATTTCCAGCTTTGATGGTGTCCATCATATGATGGACGAAAGGTCAGCCCATTTTCACCAAAAACGAGGGAGGATGTCTCGTGTACTGCGTTAACTTATGCGTTGTATTAAAGCCAAATGTATGAAGTATAACAAGTTTTGGCCGTTGTCTTCTCGTGAGATTGGCATTGGAATCCCTTCAGCATGGACTTTCATATTAAATGAACGTATGCCTAACACTTATTTTACGAGATTCATCCAAAATCAATTACACTTCGTATCTAAAAGAATAATGATACTCTGCTCTTGTATTCTGAGTTTCCGGATAATCGTTTTTGCTTTAAGACATTTATCAATGTCCCGTTATACATGTAAATTTCATGTAGTGCAGGTTGCTGTGTGTCCATGCATTTATCGACATTCATCGGGCTGTATAGGATGCCACAAAAGAAGATGGCAGTTTTGGATATAAGATTTCCACCAATTGAGACACATGAATCACACTGTTGTCGGGTTCTAGTGGGATCGACTTTTAAATCCTTTTCCTAGACGCACAATTTAAATCGAAGATGTAATTGTATTGCTATGGAGGCGTTGATTTCGTATGAATCTGCAAGAGGAAGAGACTCGTAGGTTGATCTCACTGGAAGATATACTGAATAAAAATGAAAATATATACATATATTTCATTGTGTATATGTGTGTATATGTGCGCTTGTGTGTGATGGCATGTGTACCTATGTAAGTTGGAGTACGCAAAACCGATTGCAAAGGTTTTCACCCTCTTTCGTTTAAGGTGTTGGATGACGTTATGGGTAGGACTCGTGTTTACATTGCATTTCACCTACTTCTCATTGAACACACATACAAAAGGGCCTAGCATCCCACCAAATAAAAGCTTGACTGGGATTGCGTTAGAGGATCAGGATACGAAACTAGCAAGCCAAGAGCTTCTTCGAATCTCAACTAGAGCCAATGAATTAGTGTAGAATCGAGCCACGGTTCTTTTGCCTTCAGGTCAATCTCCGACTCTGCTTGTCTGCTCCGTTCCGCTCCGACGCCTCCAACCGTGCCCTCTTCGAGGAGACACAGTCCACGTGATGCTGACAATTGCTTGCGACGCTCCCAATTGCCTCGAACTTCCTCAGCGTTGCCATGGCAGGTTTATATATCTACGTATTTCCCCATATGGTCAGTTTATTATTTGGCCATTGATTTCGCCTGACATGGGAAGAAATCTCAGATCGGCACCGGCATCATTCTCTCTCTCTCTCTCTCTATTTCACAATCTATCTACCCCCAAATTGTCTCGATCACTCGGTCACATCAGCTCGCCGAGGCTAGGGAGTTAATCGATTCACATGTTTGCATCGAATACCGTGGTGTGTTATCGCAGGGGAATTTTGGAGACAGCAACCGAACTTGATAAACATGTACATTTTGGTGAATTCACATAATCTCGTCGGACGGCGGAAGTATGTATTGGTGATGCCCGAATTTGGGCCATCCCGACTCGGCAGCTTGCCCTCTCCAAAGCCTCTTCAGGTTGGTGACACCATTTCGGACCGTGACAACTTCATGGCCCGGAAGGCGTTCTTCGCCTCGGTCTCCACCTTCAGGCCATCCTATCTGTATCTGCTGATAATATATACACATACACAATCTGGTCGTCAACTTATCTTGTCCGCTAAGGCTGCTTGATCTTTGTCTCCATCGGCCCAGTCAGTCTAGATGAAGTGTTGCCGGTACCGTTTCCCCGCCCTCCGCGACTCACTAACTCTCCCCAAATGCCTACACTTTACTTCGCTCTATTCCAACTCGTCCAGGCCGTTTCACGTCCTCTACAGACATTTGCACACACACACACACACATACATGCATGCAGTCACAGACACATACACAAACAGCCACATGCAGGCGAAGACACGAATGGAACAGGGAAGCAGACAAACTCCGGCTCTGGAGCAATGGCTGCCACACTTCTTTCCCTGTCCGGCATTGACGTTTGCTGCCTGCCTCCCTCATGCCAGCCCTATATCTCTCTCCCTCTCTCTCTTTCTCTCTTTCTCTATCTTTCTCTCGCTGCCCAACGTCTCTTTTTGTATACGCTCGCCTCGTCGGCATTTTACCTCGGCCCGAAGTATGCCTTTTTCTTGTGTCTTGAGCGTCCGACTGCACTCTCTGCTCCCGGGCTCGGAAACTGATATCATCAATCATCTCGTCTTTGTCATGCCTCTTTTCGCAGAACCCTTTCAGCCAGCGGCATTTGCGTTCTCTGCTTCTCACCGACTGAATGCTTGCTGCTGCCCTTCGTCCCACTTCCCTCTGTCCACCTATATTTCTGCCTTTGTATCTATATCTGTGTATGTTTGCGTTTGTGCACTTGTGTGCGTGTGTATGGGGGGAGGGGCATACAGAGATGATGCTGTATGCATCACTCCGTTGCGTTGCTTTATCCCTTTTCTGCCGCCCCGTTAGCTCTAACTGCTTCGATTTTTCCACATTTGTATGTCCTTGCTGGTATGGTGATATGTGGTTGTTGGATTCCTAATTTGCCCAGATAAGCCCCCACCCCTGTACGCGCTCTTGGTTGCATTTCTATCCGGCGCGAGCAACCAAAATTTTGACTATCCTTTTCATTTTCCCGCCCCGACCCGCTCACTGGTGGGCTTCTTGAGAAGGCAACAAATCTGGGACGGTACTCTCATATTTATTTCGATCTCCTCCCTATCCTTTCCTTATCCACACTCACCCTGTTGCTGCTCCATCAGAGCTTTCTTATGCCACCGATATGGACTTTTAGGGTGACTTAGTTTGCCATTCTTCTTCCTCATCGCCGGTCGTCTCGACCTCACACACTTTTCTCCGCTTTCCCCTAATGGGTGGCAGAGAAAACTGGGTCACAATTCGTTGGCCTCCAAACGATCCCCAACTTCTCGTAGCTCCTTTTAGACTCGACATAGCAGACTCAAACTCTGTGCTAGCATTTGCTCGACTATCTGAGCTCTCGTCCTCCGGCAACTGGTGCTATCTTGACCGCTTTTGCGAGTGCCAATCGTCGTGGCCGCACAAAATTGTTACCATTCTGGTCTCAGTACCAGAATTTCCTGGTATCCATCAATTGCATATACTGTTGCTGCTCTTATGGTCTTGCTAGTCTCTGTGATGATAATGCTGATAATGACTATATTGATGCTGGCGCTGATGAAGAGAATGAGAATGTTGATGATTATGATTATTATTATGAAGAAGATGATGAGTATAATGCTGTTGCTGATGGTGATGATGATGACGATATTGCGATAGTGATATATCAGTTTTTGGCTTTTCTGGCTGGGCTGAGACGGCCAGTGTCAAGTAGGCCGGACTCTTACCTGAGTCTGGCCGTCGAGTTGGCAAGGTCTCTTTCAAGAGCGCTCGTCTGACGCTCTGGCTCAGTCCTGAGGCGACTGTGTCGGTAGACAAAAGAACGTCCCACTACTCTCCATCGGCCTATTCACATCGAGAAGCCAGGGGAACTAGTTTACATAGCCTGATAAGTCTTGCCTAAATGCGTTCACAAACAGACACTGTGCCGCATAAAATAATGCTATTTTTATTCTCATATCCCCCATGTTTCCCTCCTCCCGTTGCTAGTTAGGCAGCCGGCAGGATTCTGTTTGCCTGCCCCTCATCCTCTCCGCCCTCTCCTCCTCCACCTCCTCCACCTCTCGCCACCGCTGCATACTCCCCTTCATCGCCATTTCCTATACGGACAAATGGAAAATGCATACAGATACTATACGGACAGAGCGTATAGATTTCAGGCACCGGTCACGATGGGGATCATCCATCATCCAGGCTGGATCACTCTTCCGGGGTGGCAAGACAGCAATGGAGTTGGAGGGCTGTTTGTGTCTGTGTGGACAGTGTACATTTGCGCACGTTTACGGCAATACCGAGGTACACACCAACAACGACGTGCCTTCTGATCTCCAACTTGTGTCGGATAGAAAGATGGCTAGCAGCGGCCAGTGAGGGGCGTGAATGCCTGTGTTTGCATCCACCTTGTATGCATGCCTATGTCTTTTTCGGGAATGCATATGTATGTGTGCATATATATATATATATGTATGTGTGTATGGGATGATGAGAGGACAAATGGAGGCGACAAGAGATGGTGAGGTGGAAATGAGATACACCGGTGACGCATAAGAGACATTGAAACTGAGACCTGCTCATGCAGGCTAAGACCCAGTCACCAGACGGGAACAAACCATTAACACACACACACACAAACTTACTGTGAATGTTTCCCATGTTTCAGTGTCTCCGTTTTTATATTTCCATATGTCTCTTACTCCTCGCATCATCACAGTCGAGGAGCAGTCGCCTCGACGACTCTAGAGTCTGTTGCACCATTTGACTCTTCCACGATGCGCCATTTTTCTGGTTTGACTTGGCAATGAAGCATTAGATGGTGGTCAAAAGTGCCTGCAAATGAGAACTGTCCTGGGACTCTGATGACGACGTGAAATTCGCCTTTTGCTGTCTCTAATGCCCACCTTTTGTAGATTGACTTGTCGGTTCGTGTCTTATCCGCTTGCTTCAAGACACCTCCTTAACGAGCTCGAACCGGTGCTGCTCTTTCGAGCGGTGCCTGCTTCGAGTCGCGGCTAGTCTTCTCGCTTTTTGTGCCAACCCGTGCCGGTGGACGCATGTCGAGTCGGCTGCTTGACTGGGTGGGTGGCGGGGGCGTCATTCTACGTCAGGAACTTGGGATTCCACTGAACTTGTCCCCACTATGAACTCCGCGACCGTGCGCTCCTCCCACCCATTTGACCTCAACCTCGGTCGACGATTACGACATTATTTTATTTATTGTCGTTTTATTTCTTCTCTATTATCTGACCCTTGCGTGACGCAGAGGCTTAATATTGACTGTGCCATTTGGCCGGCCAATTCCCAAAGAGAAGAGTCTGCCTCGAAAACTCCACCGGCGCTCTTCTTTCTGCTGACTCGTCGCGAGCTGCTGCAGCCCGAAGACTGGCAATGCTGAAGTGAGACGAATCTGGCGGGCATAAAACGACCAAAATGGGCGATTGCATTGCCCCGACCAATCGTCAATGGCGTGCGTCAGACTGTCAGACTGATTATCTGTACAGACGAAGAGCTACTCGCTTGCTTGGTGTCACCGGTTAGGGTTCCGACTTACAAGATTCCAGAATATGTTTCGTAGCCATGTACAAAAACTGGGGTTCGAAGAATCCCTAAATAGATACGTACTCGGGGTAGCCATCGAATGGACTATTTTAAGTATTATAATAGTAATATCTTTTAAAAGTGTCCTGAGTTATCCACACAAAGCATTCCATTCTAGATATAATCATACTAGCGATAACAATAAAATTAATAATAATGACTATTGTTATTACAATGATAATAGGACCCTTCGATGGATATAATAAAGTATGCTCGACGCAAGATAATAGCAACCATGGTAATAATAATAATAATTAGTAGTATTATCATCTTATTATATGTGTGGCTGACATAACTACATTATATATATATAATGTATGTGCGTGTGTATGTTTGGGTTCTGCTGCAACTATGACAGACGATAACGCAAGGTTTGAGCAGAATCCTGGTTGTTACACCGAGTTGGTACATCAGAACTGGCGTTAGATTCAAGAAGCGAGGATTGCGACTGCGTTGATCTTATTGTTGTTGTGTTGTGTCCTGTTGTGTCCCTGTCTTCGAAAGGATTGAGCCTTCCCGGCAGGACAGCTTCTAGAAGTGCTCTTCTCGGGCAGATACTCCTCTGCATTTTGACGCGCTCCCAGCGACTAGTTCTTGGTTCGGATGACCGTGTTTTCAGATGGTCCGGAGTCCCGCTCGTCTGGCGTTGCAGGCTTGGGCCTCTGAAATGGAATGATGTGCTCGAAAGACAACTCAACCTGATGGAAAGGGGGTGAAGGCGCAATTTCACACAGGGAAAACGAGTAGGCCTCTCGACACTTGCCTCATCTGCATGCTCACTTTCGTCGGTGTGCCGCTGTGGTTGCCTAACTGGCGATTTCATCGTTTGGCATCGGAAGCGGCTCCTCATAGTCCTCAAAATCGGCACCCCGAAATCGTCTTGTCTCGATCACGATGCTTCATAGAGAGAGAAAGAAAAAAGAGGGAGAGCGAGAAGGAGAAAACATCTCTCTTCTGAAGCTCTTCTGGCCTACTAACGGATGCCGAGATATGTGAGGTGGAAAGTACGGGAGCACGAATCCAAGTGACCTTGAATTGGGCAACGTGTAGGACTCGTAGTCGGACCTTTCAGTCCAGCAACTGTGGGTCGTTTCTCGCGTAGCGCGAATCAATCTCAGCCCAACTGTCGCTATACCGACTCAACGAGTTCGTAGGCATTCTTGGACTGTCGCCCTCTTATCCACCTTTGGCCGTTTAGTCATTAGTTCTGGATACACTCGACCGCGTCTACTTGTTTGCGTCTTATCAGTCACGCCTTTCACAATGGCACATCGGACAGATACAGCTTCTTCCCACTTCTCTCGCCCTCCCTACCAAAACCCACTTGAACTGTTTCATTTAACGTATCCAAAGCTTACTTACATATTCGTTGACATGTGGTGCGCATACATCTCGACATAGAATTTTACTCGCAAATACACATACAGTCACGGCCACATGCATTCACACACACACACACACATACACATACATATACATAGGCACACGTACCACGGTTAGGTGAGGGAACAGTTCTTCCCCTCGGTCCGGTATCCATTCTATCTGCAAACACATTGCCTCCCATAGACACACGGACATGTATGAGAATATGTGTAAATACGCATCATACAGGGTGCTTTGAGCCAATTCAGCTTCGGCCGACAGACTGCCTATAAATCAGAACAAAAGCGCTCGTCCTGCCGGGCTTTTGGTGGAAGCCTCCTGCATGCCCCACCGTCTTCGGGGCCAGACGAAGTTGTCGGTTGAGGATGGTTCCAGATGGTATTTATGTTACTCTGCCCTTAAGAATCTTCGCCTATCGCCGTGTCTGACTGCCGGCATGTCTGTGTATGTCTGTACATATGTCTCTCTGTCTGTCTGCTTGGGTGTGTGCGAGCACCGACTTGTGTGCACGAGAGGTTTGCGCTTTTGGGCTTGTGCCTATACGACTGGGAGAAGATGAGTCGCAAAAACAGTGCTGTTGGACATTAGTGTGTCTGGGTTGCATAAAACTTTCTGGATCGACCTATGAAAGGTAGTCCGTCCAGCCGTGAACCATACTGGTCTCTGCAATTTGACGCAATAAATGCCAAGAAGTCGGTTTTTGCCAGTCAACCTATGTCCCTGCAGATTTAAGAAATGCTCTGAGAAAGCTTTCGTAGCAAAATTCAGATTTTCGCCGGTTTGTTGCATTGCCCAAAGGGAAATGAGTTTAAAGCTTGGTGAACAAATCTCCTCACGGAGTCCAGATGGTGCTCGAAATTGAAACGTGTGTGTCTAGTGGCAACGGTATAACTTGGCCAAGTGTAGCATAATTGCCGATAAAACAACAATTGATGACATCATTGCCAACTGATTGAATAGATTTCCAAATCGTCAGCAGATCTTGATTCATAAGTTTAGCCAAACTATGCTTTAGAAGGTGCGTTGAAGTGTTTTCGCGACTAGGTCGTTTAAGCTTCGGCTCTGTCCAGGTCTTATTAGTACCATGAAGAGGACAAAATACTGGATGATCGTTAGCATTTGGCCGTCCAACCACGCAATATAGATCAAATATGACATTCAAGGCAAGTCAGGCGCCATCCAGATTATACATGCGCTTAAATTTGCAGTGCTACTTATTTGAATGTAAGTAGTATGCAAGATTATATTTTTTTGAAATTTTTCATACCTTTTCTCATGAAACAATTCCAGCATTGTCTTTTCTAATTGTCTATCTACCTCTTTGCAACCTGTCAGTCATCCGATCTATCCTCTTCTGGCATTGATCTTCGACAAGTGCGAACTAGCCACGTGCACGCCTCGCGATCTCAACCAGTCGCAGGCGTCCGGAGTCAACCAGCTCGTCGGTGGTCCAGTCGGCACAAATTCGTCCGTCACCGGCGGCCCCGGCGGTGGCATTGGTCTGGGCGACGTGTGGTCTTCTGAGTCTTTCAACGAGGATATCCTCGTTTTTGCAAAAGAGGTGAGCCAAATGCACTCGAGTGCCGCCTTAGCGTGGCGACAAAGGACTGGTTGGATACGGTTTAGACTGTTTTAGAGTGATTTGACATTCATCCAAATAAGCAGACGTTTTATATACGAGAATTGAAAGTGGGTTTCGATGAATTTTTTGAGATATCATTGAAGCTATTCATAGCTAGATCAGTCATCCTATTCTGGTGAGATATGCAAAATACAAGTCTCCGCAACAAAGTGTTTTATGGACGCGTCCGATATGGCCCAAGTCGGAGGCTGCCGAATGCGTGAGCAGCCGAATCGGATGTGTCCGGCTTTCGGCCGCATCTTAGTTGGCTTACCCGATCACTCCGACCGCCTCGATCGGGCCTTATCCATCAGTTATGTCGGCCTCTGAGATGGACGTGAAGGGCACTCGCTATCTGTACACACATGCAAACACAGTGCGAGTTCTTCTCTTGCACTTATCCGAAACTTAATGTATTTAGCAGATGGAATTCTCACCAGACAATCTCTTTTGGACCACTTGTTTGCGGGTATCATTGGCATGTGTTCGCGAAGATCAACAATTGTCCGGTTGAATGCATATCCTCTCCCAACTGCTCACCTTAATTTACGTGTGCACGTCTGTGCCTCTGCGTGTCTGTGCCCACATGCCGACCAATGCATGTTTGAACGGTGCACAAATGGACATATGCCTATGATGGACTGACCAGCCATCCCAACACACAGTTCAATTAGCGCCGTTGTGTTCTACCCTATTCATTCTTTTTGTCAGTCCTGCCAAGTGAACAGGATCCACAAATGAGCATCGCCACTGACCCCCATAAAACACAGTTAAGGCAGTCTGGCCACACTTTTGATATTCCCTCCATCTCTCGAGAATCGCCAACATCTCAATACCGCTTTGCCAGACAATGGCTCCACACACAAACACACACATGCACCAACATACAAGTGCACATGTTTCTGCTCTGATTGAGGTGTATAGGGATAATGACCGTCCATCTGTATGGTAAACTCATCAGTGGAGTCTGACATGGATGAACGAGCTGCTTGAGAGCCGAGGCTATTGTGAGTGATAGAAGCGGTGCAATCAACAGGCCTTTTGAAGACTTAGTTGAGGTACAGTATGAAGGAAAACTGGGTTTCGAGGACTTCGTTAGTGATTTATTGTCACACTACTCTTCATTTCAGAGAAAAATTCGGTTAGAAACAATGAGTAAAGTTGTCTCATCGAAAACTGAAAGAAGACTGTTGTATTGTGACAGATATGATCAGGACAAGAATTCATACATTGCAAGATAGGATACAAATATATTAAAGCAATAATAGTGACTAGATTTTGTTGCTTTAATATATTTTTTCTCTATTTTCTAATGTATGAATTTTTTCTCTGATGATGTCTCTTCAGCAAACCTCCTTCGGTTTTCAGTCTGACTATTTCACAAATTTTTTCCAACCAAATTTTCCTTCTAAATGTAAAGTACATCTCGATCAGACATCCAATAGTTGCATCTCTCTTCCCTGCTGCCAACCCGTTTATTGTACAAAAGGTTCACAAAACATGAGTATCCTCGCCATGACATGAATTGTAAATTTCACTTTCGCAGATTTTTCATTCTTTCCGTCTTTCGACCGAACGGTAGATGCTAATACTGCGAATATTGGATGAGTAGGCACACCGACAACCATACAAGAACATGTCTCTTTTGCATATCCTTCTGTCTCCTCTCGATTTGGTTGCTAGGGCTGCTCACTTGCGTCTGAGGCAGCCTGAGCTGGCTCTCGAGGCCCCCTGGGGCTTGTCTGTCGTGGAGGCAGTGTTATCAGAAGTTTCGTGTTTGTAGCACTTCCGGATGGGGATATCACTTAGGGCGGGAGGACCTTTACTACTGTCCCATATCTGCTGTTCGGTGCTTATAAATGAGGTCATCCTGTCCTGCTTTGCGAAGTTTGTGCCGGCAACGCGAGTGGATACCGACGTGGGCTACAAGTGAAGTCACCTATTCTATTGCGGACATTGGCATGGGGAACATGTAGCCCTGGCCACGCCCTGTTACAATTTTACCGCATAAACAACTTTTGGTTCTGACCGGCGGACCTGAAAACGCGCCGTCTCCCGCCTCAGATACTGAGACCGCTTTTTGTCCAACCGATGCCATCAGCCCCCCTCCTACCCACCTCCAGACGCTCTCGCACACATACATATACACAAACACACATCCATCTAACCCCTTCATTTGCTCTCCCCTTTTATGGGGTTTTGACATTGCGCTTAAAATCTGCCTCTTCCGATAACCCTCGTACAGACGGCATGACGACCAGTAATTCTTTTTTTTCGCTAATTCTACCGAGCGCACTCCCATCTTGTGCGGCATGACTTCAGCCGACTTGTTCGTCGTCTATGCAATCTTGTCGTCATGTCTGTTTGGCATGTACACATGGGCAAGAGGACCGCGTGTGCTCGTCTGATTGGTCCTTTCGAGTGAAGCAGTTGTCCATCTACCGCTCGGGCATGTTCTTGACGCAGTACTTTGATTTCCGCACTCCTATTATTCATTTCTTTCTCGTCTTCTTGCAACGGGCACGATTGCTGGTCCAGACTTACTTCATTCCCTCTTCCCGCTTTTCCCACCCACAAATCCGCGAAACAGTTGTTTGCTGATCCCAACCGATTTTGTCGAAATTCGGCGCCCCTCGAATCGTCCTGTCGAAGTTCATTTATGCTTTTGCCGATGCCTTTTTCGTCCTCTTCTTTACGGTGCTCGTTTCTACCCACAGGCACGTCTAATTACCCAGTCGACATTTGCACAGGCACACATACTCACACCTCTTTGCATAAACATGGTTGCGTATGTGCACACCTATTATATGTATCTATGAATGTGTGTGTGTGTTTGTGCTTTTGTGTGTTTTGTAGTTATGATTTCAGGCTGAGAGTACATTTTTTATACTTCACCTCTTCTCCAAGTTACTGGGCCTTAAGTGACACACGTGTGGGGTTTTTTGCTCATTTGCTGGTTGTCCTGATGGCATTATGTTGCCAACTGCAAGAGGTAGAGTCCTCCAGCGCTATGCTTATAACATCTCCATGTTCGCTCAGACGCCGTTGGTTTCTAGCATCTCCACAATTCCTCAAGTCACTCGCTTGCTCATAGGCCTTTTTCTCCAAGAACAAGAAGCGCATGTTTTACGGACGCGCACTTGCGGATACATTCATATGCACGCATAAACGTGCAAAAAGCACATGCACACACGTACAAACATGTGACTTGTATAGGATGGTTTGCATGCACACAGTCAAAAGCTTTGTTGAAAAAAAACAGACAGAATCGCTCTCATGT